TCACGTATAATTCGCCACTTCGATCGGTCGCCGAGGTTCGCATTGGATTCCTTACGATGATGGGGATCCACACTAAATAAAACCTCCATAACCATGTAAAACACATACACACATACATATATACAAACAAAACACACAAACACACACACACAATCAAATACTCACAAAATCATACACACACAAACATACACACTCGCACACAATATCAAACACACACACACACACACACACAATCATACTCATACAAACAAACGCAGACGCACGTAATATTAAACACCCAATCAAACAAACGCGCACACATACAATATCAAACGCTCACACAAACACACGCGCGCACGCACATGGCGCACATGACTCTTCCCAACTTTTAGCATAAATACGCAACCGCAAGCCGCGCCACTTCATTCTTCCGGGCATCTCAACGGGACGAAATTATCCACGCTAACACATGGATATATAATATATATACAACTTTATATATATATATATATATATATATATATATATATATATATATATATATATATATATATATATATATATATATATACATGATACACACACACACACGCATACATATACACATACATATGTACACATACATATATATACATACTATAGACATATATATAAATTATATTATATACATTATTTTCATATATATATATATATATATATATATATATATATATATATATATATATATATATATATATATATATATATATGTATATATATATCACACACACACATATATATATATATTCACATATAGATACATAAAAATATATACATACAAAAAAAAATATACATGCATATAATAAACATAAATATGCGTATTACTATATACATATGCATTTATGTACAAACATATATGTACGTCTAATGTATATGTCTATATAAACATATATGTATACAAGAAAATATAACATAAATAAACAAATAAATAAATTATATATATATATATATATATATATATATATATATATATATATATATATATATATATATATATATATACTATATATATACATATATATACATATACATACATATATGTAAGAAGAGAGAGAGAGAGAGAGAGAGAGAGAGAGAGAGAGAGAGAGAGAGAGAGAGAGAGAGAGAGAGAGAGGGAGAGGGAGAGGGAGAGGGAGAGGGAGAGGGAGAGAGAGAGGGAGAGAGAGAAAAGAACATCTGAAGAGAAAGGGGGATGGAGGGCGAGATGGAGAACCAATCCACGCTTATGAGGACAGCACCATTACTCCCCCCCCCCCAAACACACACATCCTCGATGTATGGCTAACAATCAATGCTACCTGCATCGCCATATACCTGCTGCAACTCATTAATGCTCAACAAGACAAAGCGCCGCGCACACGAGAGAGAGAAAAAAACACACAAACAAACAAACACACACACACGCGCACACACACACACACACACACACACACACACACACACACACACACACACACACACACACACACACACACACACACACAGTTTAGTTACTACAGTTTCGACATAAACACGAAAAAAACCGTTGGGGCTCCCGTCGGTCCTTATCTTATCTGTTCACTTTACGAACAAAAAAAAAAAAAAAAATTACATCATCGAGTTGCGGTCGCTTCGGAGCTATGGGTCTCGTACCATACTTTACGGCGACTGGAATATCAAAAAAAAAGTCTTTTCCACAATTAACAATGACGAAAATAAAACATTGGTAATAATAACAGATATTACCTTTTCCTCACACCCTATGTTTAGCCTCTCTCTCTCTCTCCCCCCCACCTCTCTCTCTCTCTCTCTCTCTCTCTCTCTCTCTCTCTCTCTCTCTCTCTCTCTCTCTCTCTCTCCTTCTTCCTGTTCTTTCCCTTTCTGTTCGATGCCCTTCCTCAATCCACCTTCATCTCGGCAAAGTTAAATTAGACACATATTTGTCTTGAGAGATTTTCAACGGGGAGAAGAAAGAGGTACGTAGATGGGAGGGAGGGAAGGAGAGAGGGAGGGGGAGAGAGAAGGAAGGAGGGAGAGAGAGGGAGGGAGAGGGAGAGGGAAGAGAGAGAAAAAGAGAGAAGAGAAAGAGAAGAAAAGAGGACAGAGAAGTGAGAGAGGGAGAGAAAGCAAGTAAAAGCAGCAAGCTGCTTCGAGTATGTGCAAACAGCGGACGCACACACACACGCGCACACACACCCCACATCTGAGAGCTTGAATATGCTTATTATTCCAACCTCCGGCCTTGTCACCGCAATAACCAAAGGTGTTGAGCCAAAATCCTAACAGAACACTTATGCGCTAAATGACATCCTGTCTGTATATCCATCTATCTGCTTATCTATTCATCTATCTACTTATCTATCTATCGATATCTACACACACACACACACACACACACACACACACACACACACACACACACACACACACACACACACACACATTCGTGAAATACACGTGCGTGTGTCCGTTCGTATACCCCCCCTCTCCCCTACCTTCCCCCTCCCGCACAGACCAAGAGGACTCGCCAAGGCCGCGTTCCATCCCCATCTCCCTACTCCCCCCCCCTTACGCGGATCCGTTGGTGAATTCGTGCGTTTGTCTGTTTGTGTGTCTGTGGCTTGCGGGCCGCCGTGACGTTCGACCTTGCTCGTGGAGGACGACCTTGAAGAGGATGAACGGGGTAAGTGTGTGGGAGGGGAGGAAGAGGGGGAGGGGGAGGAAATGAGAGACTGAGAGTGAAAGTGACAGAGAGACAGAGAGACAGAGAGAGAGAGAGAGAGAGAGAGAGAGAGAGAGAGAGAGAGAGAGAGAGAGAGAGAGAGAGAGAGAGAGAGAGAGAAAGGCGGAAAGGGGGAGTGAAGAATAATTAGATTTCTGTTTGTCTGTCTGTCTGTCTGTCTGTGTCTGTCTGTCCGTCTCCCACCTTCCATACAAAGCAGAGTTTCAATGAACTCTCAACTGACTGCTGACTGACTGACTGACGACTTTCGCCCTCACGGAGTACCAACGAGAAATGGCACGGTATGAAATGTGAATACAAATTGCATTTCCCAGAAATACTGAAAAGCTGTTTGTGCTTACGAGCAAGAAAAAAATAAATAAAATAAAAATAAAATAAAAATAAAAAAGCAAAATGAAAGACAATTCCTCCTTGCCTTCCCCTTCCCCTCCTGCCGTCTCCTCTCCCGCCCTCCCTCCCCCCTCCCTCCCCCCTCCCTCCCTCTCACTCATACACACACCTCCATCCGTACCCAAACACGCACAGGCGAGGAGTAAGGGGCGGAGAGAGGGAGGGTAGAGTAGAGGAGAGGAGAGTAGATAAAAGTAGAGAGGAGAGGAGAGGAGAGGAATAGAGGGGAGAGGAGAGGAGTATAGAGGAGAGGAATAGAGGGGAGAGGAGAGGATTAGAGAGGAATAGAGGGGGGAGGAATAGTGAGAAGTGGAGAGGAGGGGAGAGGAGAGGAGAGGAGAGGAGTAGTGAGACGTAGAGAGAAGCAGAGAGGAGAGGAAGAGAGGCGCAGGCGAGACACCAAACAAAACTGTCGTCTCCACCCGCAGACTTCCACGCACAGGACTAATGAAACTTAGTTTGTAGTAATAGTAATAGTAACATTAATGGGGACAATAATACCAATGGTCTCCCTATTGCCCATATCAGTGATACTAACAAGACCTGCTACATAATAACAGGATGCAATAACAACAAAGGTACCCGATGAGAGAGAGAGAGAGAGAGAGGGAGAGGGGGGGAGGAAGGGAGGGAGGGAGAGGAAGGGCGAGAGAGCGAGAGGGGGGGAGGGAGGGAGAGAAAGGGAGGGGGGGAGGGAGGGAGAGCGAGAGAGAGAGAGAGGGAGAGAGAGAGAGAGAGAGAGGGAGAGAGAGAGAGAGAGAAAGAGAGAGAAAGAGGGGGGGGGGAGGAAGGGAGGGAGGGAGGGAGAGGAAGGGAGAGAGAGAGGGGGGGAGGGAGGGAGGGAGAGGAAGGGAGGGAGAGAGAGAGGGGGGGGGAGGGAGGGAGAGAAAGGGAGGGGGGGGAGGGAGAGCGAGAGAGAGAGAGAGAGAGAGAGAGAGAGAGAGAGAGAGAGAGAGAGAGAGAGAGAGAGAGAGAGAGAGAGAGAGAGAGAGAGGGGGGGGGAGGAAGGGAGGGAGGGAGGGAGGGAGAGAGAGAGAGGGGGGGAGGGAGGGAGAGGAAAGGAGGAAGAGAGAGAGAGGGGGGGAGGGAGGGAGAGAAAGGGAGGGGGAGAGGGAGAGGGAGAGGGGAGAGAGGGAGAGAGAGAGAGAGAGAGAGAGAGAGAGAGAGAGAGAGAGAGAGAGAGAGAGAGAGAGAGAGAGAGAGAGAGAGAGAGAATGTTAGAGAGCAGATGAAATACAAACAAAACAAAACAAAACAAAACAAAACACACACACACAAACATACACACACGCGCGCACACCAGGAACATGGGGGATATGACCAGAAGCAGCAGAAGCAGGAACAGGCATCAGCAAGCAGCTAATATAACAATAGGTACGGTAACAACAGCAGGTGGGATGCAGTGAGAGGCAGGCAGGCAGGCAGGCAGGCAGGCAGGCAGGCAGGCAGGCACCGGAGCGTAGCGTGCAGGGTGGGAACCGCTCAATACGGGAGGGAGGGAGGGAGGGAGGAAATGATGGGAGGAGGGGTAGAGAGGGCGCGTACGGGAGGGAAGCAGGGGAGAATGAGAGAGAGGGAGAGGGAGAGGGAGAGAGGGAGGGAGGTAGAGAGAGAGAGAGAGAGAGAGAGAGAGAGAGAGAGAGAGAGAGAGAGAGAGAGAGAGAGAGAGAGAGAGAGAGAGAGAGATGAAGGAAGAAAAAGAGAGCACGGCGTGTGTCTATCTGTATATGCGCGCGTGTGTGTTGTGAGTTGAGAGAGTGCGAGAGTGAGTGTATGTGTATGCGCGTGTGTGTATGTAAGTGTGTGTGTGTGCCTGTGTGTACGCTACGCTACTACGCTCCTCCACTCTACACACTCATTCAGGCCCGCCCTACCACATCCGAACCTGGAATGCACAGCCGAGCATTCCCATTCCCGGCCTGCCTCTTGCCGCCCCACGCACGCGCCCTGCCCTCTCGCCAGCTCTCCTCTCTCCCCCACCGCTGCCGCCGCCGAAGCCGCCGCCGCCGTTACCGCTACCGCTGCAGCCGCCGCCGCTACCGCTACCACCGCCGCCGCCGCCGCCGCGCGCGCCTGATCCACGTACACTCCACCAGCCAAGCACTGGCTCCGCCGCCGAACGCACTCGCTCCACCACGCAATTCCACACGACCCGCCGTTCCGTCTCGCCTCCTTCCTCCACCTGTCCTGCTGCTGCGGGATGCAACCACCATGGCGATGGAGGGGGGGAGGGGGAGGGAGACACGCGGCGAAGCAAGGAAAGCGAGGAGAGAGATAAGGAAGGGCAAAGCGAGAAAAAACTAAGAGGAAAAATAGGACAGGCCACTCGCAAGAACGGACGAACGACGGACGATAACTCGGTCGCGGGGTAACCTATTCTCCCTCTCGGATAAACCGCACTAAACACTCGGGAAGAGATGCAGGATTAAAGGAAAAAAACAAGGAACAGAGCACACACACACACACACAAACACACACACACACACATACAATATATATACATACATTTACACACAAACACATGCACGCGCGCGGGCACGCACACACGCACACACACATATATGTGATTGACCGAGCGGAAATGCTTGGCAAATTCCAGCAATTAAAACACATTTAAAAATGCCTGAAGGGGAAGCAGGCTTTTTTTTTTTTTTTTTTTTTTTTTTTTTTTTTTTTTTTTTTTTTTTTTTTGAGGGGTCACTCAACAGAACACTACTTCCACCTGCTGCACTGTCTGCGCCTGCTCGTGTCCAATTATATGAGAGAGTGAGTGAGAGTGAGTGAGTGAGTGAGTGAGTGAGTGAGCGAGTGTGTGTGAGTGAATGAATTCGTGCGTGCGCACATAGAGGCGTGTATCTTATGCGTGCATGGCATCACTATCATTATCATTATCATTATTATTATTATTATTATTATTATTAGTAGTAGTAGTAGTAGTAGCAGTAGTAATAGTAGTAGTAGTAGCAGTAGTAATAGTAGTAGCAGTAGTAGTAGTAGTAGTAATAGTAGTAGTAGTAGTAGTAGTAGTAGTAGTAGTAGTAGTAGTAGTAGTAGTAGTAGCAGCAGCAGCAGCAGCAGCAGCAGCAGCAGCAGCAGCAGCAGCAGCAGCAGTTGTAGTAGTAGCAATAATAGTAGTAGTAATAATAGTAATAGTAATAATAGTATTAGCAGTAGTAATAGTAATAGTAGTACCAGTAGTAACGGTAGTAGTAATAACAGCAGCAGCAGCAACAATCGTAATAGTATAAGAAATAATAGCAGCAGTAATTGTTTTAATAATTAAACAACAACAACAATAATAAAAATTATAATAATAATAATAATAATAATAATAATAATAACAATAATAATAATAATAATAATAACAAGAATAACAACAACAGCAAAAACAGTAACAAAGCCGCAAAATGAAAACCCACCACCACCAGAAAAGAAGCAAAGCTTATCCAACAGGTGTAAACATTAGGGCAAGCAGCAAGCGTAGTGGCAGCGAGGGTCGAACGGAGTATTGATAACATGGGACCTCGTAGAGCGCCCCCCCCCCCCCGCCCCATCCCTCCCCATCCCCTTCCCTTCCATTACTTCGCCCCCACCCCCAACCCCACCCCCACCCCTACTACACTCCTTCCCCCCCTTCCCCCCCACCCGAGGTATGAGGAGTTATCGCAGCGTACAAATGATGATGCTTTGCGACACTCCGCGGGGCGCAAATCTACTCGGGCCAGCGGTGGACTTGAGGCGAATGCGCGGGCAAGAGTCGGGGGGGGAATCCGTCCGTCAAGAGGCGCTCGCCCCTGACCGGCCTTCCTCTTGCCCCTGCCCCTGCCCCTGGTCGAGGCTGCTGCAGCTTCTCTTCTCGCCTGCCCTCGCCCGGGACACGGATCGGAGTTTTGGCTTCCCTGTCTGTCCTGTCTCCTGTCTCTCTTGTCTCTCCTCTTCATCTCTCTCTCTCTCTCTCTCTCTCTCTCTCTCTCTCACACACACACACACACACACACACACACACACACACACACACACACACACACACACACACACACACACACACACACACACACACGCCGCCCTTAGGCCCTCACTCACCCAAAAATGGGGTAAGCATCATATTTACACCTGCGATCGGCAAGCTATGGATGACATCATCACCCCACTTTACTACCGAGGTTATCCAATTCTTTCTCTCACCACCTCTTTCTTTTTTCTCCTTCTCCTCCTCCTTCTTTTCTTTCTTTCTTTCTTTCTTTCTTCTTTGTTTTTCTTTTCCTTTGGGAAGATAAAAGAAGAAGAAAAGAAGAGATGGGCGAGTAAGTGAATGAAAAAAAAAAAAAAAAATACGGAATAGAATTATAAAAAGAGAGAGAGAGAAAGAAAGGAGAAAAGAAAAGGGGGTAAAAAAATTACAAGTCGAAAGCAAAACATATATGGAAGAGTGCTACTGTTAATAATAACACCAGCAAAAACACTCCGATTCACAACAACGGTATCAGATGCAATGCTATCAATATGATGCAGTCATAGTAATGATCTTAACCTTGGAGACTTAGAGAGAGAAAGAGAAAGAGAGAGAGAGAGAGAGAGAGAGAGAGAGAGAGAGAGAGAGAGAGAGAGAGAGAGAGAGAGAGAGAGAGAGAGAGAGAGAGAGAGAGAGAGAGAGGGGGGGGGGAGAGGGAGGGAGATAGAGATAGAGAGAGAAGAGGAGAAGGAAGAGAAAAAGAACGACATGGAGGAAGGGTGGGAGGGAGGAGAAGAAGGAAGAAGAGAAGGACGAATGGGA